CTGCTTCATCAGTGACCAGACTAATGATGAGATACCTGCATCAGTGTGTGCAGACCAATGGATTTCAGTTTGGATTCAGTGGCATGTTATGGATCAGAAAACACTTCTAATCCCTGGTTTTGTCTCCAAATCTTGATGTCTTACTGTGGTTGTATGCATTATAATGGTTGGAGTTATTTGAAGAAAAGAAAAAAAAAACAGTGCCACAGAAAGTGTTAAATTGATCACCAATAACTTAAATTCATGATTCACTGAAAAGCACAGTTAGTGTTTCTCTTTACTCAAAATACAATCACAAAAAACAAACAAACAACACTTAAGGAAAACATCATAAAGCAATCATATGAAATGGTGAGTACAGGATCGAAATATCTACTCTGGAACATATAACAACAGGATGCTCCAGGATCTGGAGGGCCGTTTCAGTCACTAGGAAAGTATAACTGTGCATTTCACAGCATCACTCATTAACAGGCAGCTCCTGGGTGAGAGTGACAGAGGAGGTTTCAACCCTGAGGCTACACGCTGGGAACTAAAAAAAAGCAGTCAGCTTACAGTGTTGCTGCATGGGTATGTGCGTGTGTGACAATTAGTGGGTAATAAGTGTTTACACTTCGCAAACATGTTTGTGAAGACCTTGCAGCACAACATGTTTAGAGTGTAAGTGCATAAATGTGTGAGAAAATATTGCACACAGCATGGAGGCATCAGTGGACTAATTTAAAATGGTCCCACCTTTAGAGAACATCTCCCCCCACCCCCTGTGAGTGGTTTGCCCCTTTGCCCTCTATTCTCCTGACAGGGAGGGTTGTTTTCTCACCCAGGGAGGGGGGAGACAGCAGCCCCCGTATCCCACAGAGAGAAACACGGGGGGCTCGGCCAGCAAGACAGAGGCCCCCGGTTCTCACATAATGCTTGCCGTTAGTGTTTGGGCTGCAGCAGCGCACCTGTAGTAAACTCACACCCTGAGTCACAGCAGAGCTGTCAGTCTTCCAGTGAGCTCAGCCTCAGTGGGTCTCATTACACACATCACTTTAGGCCATCACTTATCTCCACATTCAACCCCATGCCACAATGTCAATTTGAAAGCGGCAACTAGTGAAAGTAATTTATTACATTTCAAAATAAGACATGAACAAGTCTTCCTGATAATCTACTCCAAAATGTACATTTTGCAAGACAAAAGGCTTATATTTACTTTGAGGAACAATACAGTTAATAATAAAATAGTATAACAAAAATAATAAAACATAATAGTAATAGCTCTTCTACGATTATTTTATATTATTTTGTATTAGTCTAGAATACTGCTGACGCTACTGAAATACAGTTTCTCTAAGGAAAATGAATATGGTGTACATCACAATAATAGGCAATTAATTTCCTAATATTCCATTCAGTGAGTCTATTTTTGATTATAAAAGCAAACTGATGTCCATACAATGCTACACCTGTCTTTAAAGGGCTAAGCAACAAATGGATAGAATGATTTGAGTGTGTGGGTTTGGGGCAGTCTTTTATTGGGCGCGCAGTTTTTCTGGGACCCGCCTTAAATGCTATCTAACACTGAATGAAAAACAAGGGCGCTGATCCAGAAAAAGGCTAGAGGAGAAAGAGAGGGAGAGAGAGACGCAAGGCTGAAACCGATCCCTGTTGACCTCTTCGGCATGCCCTCTTTCTTTTTATGACTTTCTTCTGAATCATCACTCACCAGCCCTATCAGCACAGTCCAGCCTCCATTCACAGACACTTGAATGCACATAATACACAAGATAAGTGTGTTTCCTGAGGATTTGGCAGATTGAGTACAATATTATGGTTAATAGTGATATTTTGGGGGGTGTAAACAACTCTTGAATTAATTTACGATGCTTAAAATAGATTAATTTGTCTTATAAACTAATAGCTTAATACAAGCCAAATAATATATTACTGTGTATATATAAAATTTTAAGGAAGCTGAGTCCATGTTCTCGTGCTGAGGCTGGAGAGACAACAGTGTTAAGACCTAGATGGACCACTCATACACAATGTTAGGCCAATAATTCTGCATCTGTGTTTCTGCACAGCCTCTGGGGTCTCCCTTTATGGCTTAGACTAAATTAAATGGAGCATATGCATTTCTGCACAAGCTAAAATACATAACTGCTGCTGGCTGTGGTATTTATAGCTGAACTCTATCTGAGATGGAGGACCGTAAATCAGCAGAGAGGAAACAAACTGATAAGGCATTGCTGAGAACTGGCACTTAACACTCAGACTGGCCCAGCTTGGTTAAAGAGGAGAGATCTATATGCCATCAAGAGAATGTCACTCTGGTGCAACTGTTAATGGAATTAACTACAGCATCTGAGGTCTTTAAGTTGGACATTCTAAAAAAACATTCTTGCAGCAGACCACAGACAAGTATTTCAGTCATAATACTACCTGAGTAGTAGAAGAAAAAATAAACCTAAAGCTTTGAGGAGCAGGAGAAATACAGTATATATATGTTGTATTTTTAATGACTTTATAAGCAGCTTGAGCTGCCAATTCATTTGTGAACAGTTTCATCCACATGAAGAGAAATCAAAACACAGGACAGATGTTAAGTAAAACCATATTTAGGCAATGTCACAAATTGCAATCTGTTAAAAATGATTGGGGCACATCTATTAAATGAAGTGCAGGGAGAACTGGTTCTACATGGCCAGGACATAAGGAAATATTTAACCAGCCAATTGCAACCAATTAACTTTGATCACAGCGATGGTGTTTGGAATATCAGTCACTCATCTGTCTGGGTGAGTATGGACTTTTTTCCCTATTTCTCTCTTCTGTTTTTTTTTTCTCCTCCTTCTTGGGTTTGCGTCATGTAACACAGCCAAACATGGTGCTGAGTAATGAGACTTGGCAGACTGGCTACAGATCTCTTCACACTTAAGTATCAAAGAAAACATTTTCTCTAGTGTGAGGTCAGCATAAAACAGGACTGGTGGGTCACTGAGATCAGATTCACTGGGAGAAAGAGACTGATGAGGATGGGACAAAAATTAAGGAAATAAATACTCAAAATTGCAGACAGATAATTGGATAGAGCAATTGTTGAGGTAAGTAACAGATAAATTTCTTTGCTTATTGTTAACATGTGATAAGCACAGAGTTAGCGGAGTTTGACATCTGGATTTGGACAGAGGGTAGTGGGTGAGCTTCATGTCCCGTCATGTGTGTATATGCATAAAGAAATATGGCTCACACTAATGTCTGCATCTATTGGTATTCATGACCCGCTGATCTTTGCTTCACCTCTTCACAGAGCGACTGGGCAAAAATCCTAACACACACATACACACCTCAGTACCCATGATGTCTCCATTCCTGAGCCCCGGGGGCAGATTTTACACTAGCCGTACATGAATTAAGGGGGTAAAGAGGGGTGGAAGGGAAGACAGTGGGGGATTTCATCCTGTGATGTAAAGGTCTGTAGTGTCAGTGAACAGTGACACCAAGCACACAGCATGACACACAGACAGACAGAGTGGCCATAGAAACACAAGAGCCTGACAAATTGCACTAGCTGCTAAAGGAGTGGGGGCAGGACTGGTGACCCAGGAACGATGGACTGACAGCACATGTAAAATTCATGGTGTTCCTTGAGGTCTGAGGTAATACTTCACCACTATGGAACTGATAACTGACAAACAGGCTCCACGCTATGAAACAGTTGTTGCTGTTTTAACTAAAATCTTAATGGACCGGTCTTAAAGGTAGGGTTGGCGATTCCTTCCAGAAGCATTTTTGTTATATTTCTTGAATTTCTCTTTTCATCCCAAAGGCTATGAATACATTAAATGCACTGACAACATTAAAAAAAGCCATTATTTGTGGCAGCAGCAGGGCTGAAAAGTGTCTGACCAATATTTTTACTCAATATTGTTTCAGACATGAAACACTCGTCTGAAGAAAAACCACTGGATGGCATACCTGCCTGTCAACCGACTCCCTACTTGCGCACACTCTGTACTTGCACTTCATGTGCAAGCCAAGAGTCTCCCACAAGGCGCTGCAGTTGCAGGCAGACGTGCTACCGCTCTGCTTTACAGCTATAGCTAGTTGCCTGTGGCAGAGAAGGTACCCACAGCAGGTTTTGTTCAGAAATGGAAACTGTTCTAACAGGCTAGGTCTTCCTCTTTAAGACATACAGCCTTATAGGTAATGTTGTTGATGCATCCAGATGTTGCGACCAGCATGCACAGTATGACAGCAAGAAGACTCCTTTTACATGCAGCCAGACAGTAGTCAGCTCTAAGTGCAGAGAAAGGACTGTAATGCAGTTAAGTGGGCATCAAAGGCCACATGCAGTGTTTGCATTACCAAGACTGAATAAAGCCTGTTCTGAACCTTTAGCTGGCCTCCCTCTTCACTTCTCCCCACTAGAAAAGCCTGGACTTTTAAGACTAGTTACTGGATAAGAACAAGGGCTAAGGCAGTTTAGCCATGAACCAGAGGCCCCTGACAACGGTTCAGGGCTTCAGATATGGATGGGTAACATAGTATTTGAGAAAGTTACAACTGAAAAGAAGCTGGATGCTGCAAGAAGCAAAACCAGAGTTAACATCGGCTTTTGAATGACGGCAACAACTGAGAACAAAAGGGGCTGAAAAGTGATGCTGTGGTAGCTGTATTTCCGCTGGACAGGTGATTATCGGTTTTGTTTTGTTTGGGGGGGCATTTGTTATTTTCCAGAAATCTGTAAGTAGTAGTCAGGCAGTGCGTGTTGTGTTTTGGAGGAGCAGCTTTGGAGAGAAGTCGAAATGAAAGAGTGGGATTTCTTCGGTTGTCTACTTTCAAAACCGAGCCTCCTCTTGCTGTTTTTTCCTGGATTGTCAACACTACATTTAAGCTGTGGTTTAACTGTACGGTATACACGAAATCATCACAACATGAACAGTATTTGTGCAGAATAGAGTACAGCAAAGATAAGGGAATTTGAAAGAAAGCAAAAAAACAAATAGAAGCACCTCTAAGTCGTTAAAGAATAAGTGTGTGTCAGCCAAGTTGAAGATCATTTCCTCCATCCTCAGGCCTAATGATACAGATGTCGGAGGGTCCTGCAAAATAAATAAAAACAATAAAATCAGCCAAAAGTATTTATTCTGAATATTATAAGCTCTTAAAATGTAATGGGGTAAATAATGATGTTTCCTGTAAGTCACTAAAATAATACAGAATTCCTTTAAATTATTCTGCAGGCTACTCCCATAAAAGAAGACATTAGATGGTTTGAATAGTTTAGCCTCTGTATACAACCCTCCAAAAGGGACCAGAATAGTCATTAGCAATGCCACAGACATGATTAAATGCAGTAAAACATGTTTATTTGCAGGAGGGTGGTCATTTTAAAAGATTTGGGGTCACAGCTTTATCATAAATAGCCCATTTTCCTCATATTTGTGCTGAGGCATAAACTGATTGCTCTCTAGGTGATACAGCACAGTTCTCCCTAAGGTTTCTTTAGAGCACTGACAGCTTTTCAGAGATGCTTTTTAAATAGAAGTGTAAAATAAATACTGGCCTTTCCCTGCACTGAGCACAACTGCAATGCTTCTTTTAAATTAACTAAATAATCTGTCAGTGTCAATGTGACATGTGCAATAGTGGTGAAATGGTGACACTGTCTGAAAGATAATACCTAGAGAGGAGAGAACTACACTGTAAATAGTTAATGGGCCTGTGGCAGTGTGTGCAATTTTGACTTTAAAAAACATAAACAGGCAAAAAGTAAAATACATTTTCACATAAGCATTTATGAATCTATGTATCTTTTTTCACTTTACTTAAACACTTTAGTCTTATAACTTTCACTTGTCTATACTATTATTAATGTTTGATTCAGACATGAAACACTTTTTGCAAAAACCGAATTCCTTTTAGCTTAAATCTCTAATCAGGAAATTGTCTGCAGCAAGCAAAGAATGAAGAGACAATGGCAGGTGGTGGAGGAGGGTTTTCTGCAGCTGGGTGAGACTGCAATAAAGAGGCCAGGCAGGACCAAAACAGGGATTACAAAGGTAAACCACCTGAAGACACACCTGAGCTTTCTACTGATTAGCTGTCACAGCCCACAATGCTTATGGGTTCACTAAATTGACAGAGGACAAACCACACAAGAAGAGATCAATCCCCACTTCTGCAGATTTTCTCATTCCTCTTCAAACTCCCATTTGAAATCAATCTTTCAGTCAGAATTTATCAAAAATAATTAGCTTCCCACATCAATAACCTACCAACTCCCCTCTTCCCAAACCCTGGTGCTGTTTTAAGCAAGGAGAAATAAAATTATGGGCTGGTTTGGTGGGAAAAAGCAGTCTTCTCTGGTACCAATGAATGCTTTCCAATTAAATTTAAACAATCAGTCAGTGAGGGAGTTAAGAATACAAGCAGGCCAGAAGGCCAAAGTGCTGCTGCTGTCATTGCTACAGCACCACCTGTCCTGAGATGTCAGTGCCATCGACAGGGAGGCCCCCCCATTCCCTCTGAGCCCCTAACCAATAACTCCCACGTCCCCACCCACTTTAAGCCCTAGCTAGCCCAATAGCAGCACAGCTGGCCTCAGCCATCAGCTTTATGGGGGTGAGCTGCCTTGATGCCAATTAAAAAAGCTGATAAGAACAGCAGTGCGGTGTGGGTATAAGAGAGAGAGAGAGAGAGAGAGAGAGAGAGAGAGAGAGAGAGAGAGAGCGGGAGGTCAGTGAGTGAGAGAAAATATGGATGTGCACTCATTCAGATACACATTTATTTATAGAGCAGCCACGAAGGAAAAGTGTTTTGTAACTTCTTTGTTTATGCTACTAAGATAGGGATGACATGAATGACAGACAGGAGGGAGGAGAAGGGTGAAAGACAAGGTGGCTGATGTGGTGGATGTGGAGAGCAGGTAGTTTACAGATCTGCATTTGTGATAGCCTTTCGGGTAGCATGCTCTGTGGTTGCTGTGAGTAAACATGTCTGCCTCTCATAATATTGTTTTATTGTGATAGTGTCAGCAGGCTGAAGGAATAAACAATTTGGTTTAAAAAAAGGAAAGAAATGAACAGAGGAGAAAAACAGGGAACAAATAATAAAGAGTGAGAAGGATCATAGTGGCTGTCATATCCTATATGAGCTCTGATGGAAAGGGCCCTTTATAGAGTCAGGAGTGTTTCCTGTTTCAGAGCTGCACACTTGGAGACCCTGTGTAAGCGTGTGTGTGTGTCCATATTTGCGTGTGTGGTTGGAGAGTCCCTCATCACCAAACCTCAGCTCCCTAAACCTTAGCTCTCAATTTACCCAGCATGCAGGGTTGAGATTAAAATAAATAAACAGTGTAGGGTCATGGGGCAAGACTCTTTCACTCTGAAAGCGGGTAAAAGAGGGCTGCTGTCCCCACCAAACACCCCCTCGTACTAGAACAAAGGCACAGAGCATGGGCTGCAGACACTAAGCTCTCTGACATTTGAGGAGCAATATGTCATTTTCAACTTCAAAATCAGACACATCCATAGCCAGAACAACTGGTGATTAGAAATGCTGTCCTCAGAACAAATAAAATGTATTAATCATATAAAATTCTTGAATATGTGATGAACTAATGTTAAAAACTCTACCTTTGTTACAGTGCATTATTTTTACGAATAGAAGAGAATTATAGTTATAGAACATATGACCCATACAAAGCCATGGGATCAGGATTCTCCCTTATTTCCCAGATTGTTTGTTTTCAAAGTTTAAATATAAAGAAGCAATTTACATGGAATGACAAATGGAAAAGCCTGGAGAAGTTCACTTCATGTTATGAGCTTACACATTGACATGGAACCCAAAAATTACTTCCCAGTGTAACATTATATACTGTATATATAGTATGTATTTATTAGGGTTGTTAAAGTTAATGTGACAATAATGAGCTAATGCAAAATCCTTTTAATGCCCCAAATTTTTTTGATGAGCGATTAATGCACCCGTATTCTGTGATTATGACTCTCGGCACCGCCTTGTAGTTAAGGAAATCAGGTAGCGATGCAGCAGCAGAAATGGATAAAGAAAAGGGTCTTTTGAATGGCAAGTTCAGCTTCAAAGCCCTGCCAAATGGTCCTCTCGACAAGACCCAAGTTATTTGCATTTACTGTTGATGTGAGCTGAGTTACTACCGCAGTACATCAAGTCTCAAATACCACTTGCTGGCCAAGCCCACAGCTGATGCGGAGAGCTCTCCTCCACCTCGCCAAAGGCAGACCATGCTGTATAGTTTGCAACAGAGATGCCCGGACAACTCTACAAGCAGAAAACTTTCAACAGCAATAGCTAAATGGGTGGCTCCATCTTGCAGGCTGATTAACATTGTGTTTGAAATAATTTGCATCGCATTCAAAGCCTGCACGTATGAACTGCCTACGAAAGCCACCATGGTAACCAAGATACACAACTTGTATGAAGATGAGAAAACTAAAGTGGAGGAGGCAAAATTTTACTTAAGTGCAGTACTTGAGTAAATGTACTTACTTTCCACCACTGTTTAGAACAGATAAAAGTGTGATTAAATTGCAATTTATCATGAGTTAACTATGGACAATCATGCAATTAAATATTTTAATTGAATGACGGCACACACACACACACACACACGTGTGTGTGTGTGTAGTTTGTGTTTTGACTGAATTACATTTGGTGAACTCCTGCCAGGATCTCTGGGGAGATCCCTGCCTGAAAGGGATGGATTGAGAGGCACTTAATTAAACTAACAATGTGTTTCTGAAGGAGAAAGGAACACTTAAGACACCCAGAGTGCAACTGTTGAGTCCCTACACCCGAGCCCCAACCAGCCATTCACAGCTCCAACAGCTGCAAAGAGCAGTCAAATACTTGCCAAGCCTCACTGAAACCATTTAAAAAAAAAGAAACAATCTGTTCTGCTCTATCTTCTCACAATGGATTTATGTCACAGTGAAATCCATCTACCACTCAATGGCCATCCCCCCAATCTTCTTTTTTCCTCCTTTTAATATTTATGTGTTTTATGTGATACTACCACAATCTGAGGTCACTCACCCGTCCATATCTGTTGGCATAAGAACCCGTAAGCAAGGAATGGAAAACGATGATTGTTTCATCCAGGTCCCAGATGAAAACTCGCTGGAGAGATCAGGACCGAGGTGGAAGAAGGAAATAAAGGAAAACAAAGAGAAAAGAGGCAAAATCAATGGTGCACTCTGTAGGGCTGCAAGGTGATCCTCCTGGTCAATAGGCCAGGAGCATGTATTCGTGTGCCACAGGGACCAGGACCCATTTGCTTAGGCTGGTCACTGCAACACTCCTACCATCACCACACCACATGCTTTCCAGCCATTGCCCTTTGCATTAGAGTAATCAATAGTGACAAACTAATTAACTAGATATGTTAACATGCCATGATGTCAGTGCTGTAATGGGTGCTATTAACCTCCATTAACCATTTCTAATTCATATCATATCAACGAAGAGCCCTCTGAATTAAAAACTTTATTTTGACATACAGTCACTATCAAAGTGTTGTATGGCTTATGATGCAATGGTTAATCACAGTTTGCATTCACACACACACACACACACACACACACACACACACACACATACACATACATATACATATAGTGCTCTTCAGTGTTGACTCACTTAATCACATGCCTTATTGTTTATTTACAAGGTATACATGAGAACTTTATGTAAGGTATGTGTTTAGTGATGTCATATATTCCACAATGCATCAATAATGCATTTGTGGTTAAGGAATCAAATCTTTAAGAATTAATGCCCATCAAGAGCTAAAGCTGGTGTGGCAGCCATATAGTAAGTGGATTAGTGTCCATGTGCCTCAGACAGGGCGAGGCTGTCTGTCGCCAAGGTAGCGGGCTTACCCTACCTCAAGGTCGGAGTCAGGAGGCGGTGATGGGTTGTTGTTCCTTCTTCCCCGGCCACGTGACTTTCCATCCGAGGCCCGGCGCAATCGATCTGAATCTGAATCTTTAATGGGGGTTGATGGACTGTGGATGGTACTGTACTCTCCTGAAACAAAGGAAAGAAGGAAGAAGGAGAGTATAACAAGAATGTATCTAAGATGAGCTATTGTTTAGTAAAGACATTTGAGTGACCATTTGTCTTGGTGCAGGGCAGAGAGCTTCCTGGGACACTATTTATGCAGGCCTGCAGGTAACAAACATATCATAAATCATTTGCTGAATACATACTAAAAGCTATTTTGCTCCATACTGATTTAATAATCAAGAGGTAACAGAGTACATGTCATCTAGAAAAAAGCAAAGATCTAAATTGGATAAGTGTGTATGAAATCATGTTTAGATAAAGCATGATGTCTTTTGTGTTGATTAATAACAATTTAAAATGCAATCATAAATTTGTGAGTGACTTACAAAGATGCAATCAGTTGACAGATGATGCATTAATGTCACTTGAAGTTGTGGGAAATTCATCTGCTTTCAATCAATGTTGTTTTTGCTTGCTACACTAACAAACTAAATATGATGGCTGTAATCATTTCTTACCTGGGTTAGAACAAACAGAGGTGTTGTTGTTAACTTATGCACTCATCACATGAGAAAGATCTGTGCCACCGGTTTCATAAGGAAACATGGCTGTTACCAGGATCAAACTCCTGATATCCAGGTAACAAAAGGAAACCCAGCCACCTGTTGCTCGATTCTTACCTGCAGAGTTGTCTGTGTGGGCCTGGCTGGTGATGCCAATGGGCGGCTCCTGGAGGGTGTAGGTGGTGGTGGTGGAGGGTGTACTTGGGCTGGTGTTGTTGCTTGTCATGTAGGGTGACGTGTAGGGTGAGCTGTTGTAATACTGAGCATACTGGCCCTGCCCAAAAGCTGGATAACTAGGGTAGTCCTGTGGAGAAAGAGAGCAGAAAAATGGGAAAAACTTTATTTACTTTGGACAAAGAAAAGGCAATAAGAGAAAAAACATGATTAAAAAAATGATAAAAGAGGGAAGATTTTGATCAACAAGGCAGAGCCAAAGAGAGAAAAGGTTGCAGTGTTGAAGAGGCGAAGCAGAAGGTCTGGCATAGTAACGTGAGATATGCCCTGCACCAGTGTTGCTACTTTACAGTGCAGATTCCAAAACATAAATGCAAACACATGTCTGTTCTGTCCTACATCTGGACAATGATCTGTCTTGTTTTATTTTCTTCTCCCTTTACTCTCTGGCATAATACATACAGTATGTGATGAAGGAGGTACAGTACAGTAGATAGTCCCCCGTACAAAGCTTCTGACATCTTGAGTGGTTCATGTTTGAATGTGTCATGGATGAAATGTAACATATTGAGTATGCACGTTTCATAAAGATTTCCAGGTTGGGAAAAGGTATTAGCTGCATACCGATATCAGATCACAGGAACAGAATGAAAGAAAGAAGTGTACAGCTACCTGTTGTGTGCTGTTGAAGCCAGTCGAATTTGTCAGGGAGTTGTTTCCTGCATACAATCCTGATGTTGTCGTAAACGAACCACCTTCAAGGAAAAAAAAAATAGAGCTTTGAGTTATGTACACACTATATGATATCAAAAGACATTATAGTGCAAAGACATTCTGTCATTGCACTGCGAAGCAATGCAATGACAGAAAAGGCCGATTGTTTTAATAAAAGATTTGTCTTTTCTGAAACAACTATTTGAGGTGGTGAACAGGAGGAGGTTAGAGAGAGCATAATTTCTTTCTCCAGTAGCCATCCTCCTCTACAGCCATGTGACAGGACAACCGCAGAAGGAGCAGCTTAAAGGGGATCGTGGACTGGGGAAGGGTGACAGGAAGACCACGGGAGAGATGAGTCTATAAAATCTAAAATGATGTAAATGTTTTGTTCATTCCAGATATCACAATTATCAGATTAAATTCTGTGGTATCTAACAGTAGTTTTCACTACACAAGAAGCATTTGACAAAAATAATTTGTAGAGCAATCTATACATTTTCTAATCTTTAAATGGAAAAAAATACAAGAAAAAAAGTCGAATTCCCTAGCATGCAGCCAACCACGTTTATAAAAAGGAGAACGGGAGAGAATCACAAAGTGCTCAAAGCAAAGGCCTGCAATTGATCAGAGACCATGAGAGCTGTGAGTGCTTAATTTGATGCACAGGCACTCCAAATGCAAAGTGTAATTATTACATCCATTCAAATTTAATTCACTGTGAAAGCCAAAATCATAACTGCAATTAGTATAAGATTACTTGCGCAGTTTAATACACAGTATGCACATTATTCTACATGCTAATAATGTAATATACTGTATAATCTTATATGTAAAACAATAATAAAAAAGTTGTGGGGAGTCTATGTTCTCTACCAATAGTATAGAGAAATAGATACTTGAAGAGTTCATTAAAAGTAATGTAGTAAAAACCATCTGTCACAGGACTTCCTACAACCTTTACAAATATGACCCTTGGGCTTTACTCCATACATCCACAGGGAACATTAATGAGTTAGTGCTACCATTGCATAGTGATCCTAGCATAGCCAAAAATATCCTGTTGCTTCAGGGAAAACAAACTCGGAGATAAATTTAGTGTTCCTAAATGGGGCGTAATTACACCTTTGTTCCCAGAGACAAACAAAGTGAGTTCCTTTCATCCTCTGGTCATTGGCCCCATCAGCAGGGCCCTCCCATACCGTGACAAACGTAAAGCAGCTTTTAGAAAAGGGGGAAGGAACATGGAAGTGGGGGCTATGAAGCGTACTGTATGGAAGAAAGCATGGACAAGAGAAGATGTAGTGCAGTGTTCAGCCCCGTCAGTAAGTTAAGCACTCCAGCTCAAAAGAGGAACAAATACCTCCCAGGCTCCCAAAATTACCAGGACCTGCTAGCTAAATATCTGACCCGCTAAGTATCTGCAGATTCTGACTCTCAGCAGATTTTTTTTTACCTTGTTTCTCATCCTGGTCTCTACCGGTTATTTTCCCAGAACTTTCTCTCTGTTGTTTTGTTTGATATTTCAAGGCCTACAGGGGAAATTTTAAAACTCATGTTCTCTACAGAAAGTTCAACATCTAGTGAAAGTCTGGCAGAACAATAAGACAGAGACAAGGAGGAGTAATTCAGCAAAGGACAACAAATTACCCTAATGCACAGTTCAAACAGTCATAAAAGCTCTCACTGGCAGGGTCCAAGGATTGCTCTATGGAGAACAAGGAGCTACATAAAAGCCGGGGCGACCCCTACTAGCCCTGTGAGAATGAGCCCATGCTGTTGGGAGTGGTGGTGCTGCTTATAATGGGGGGCAGAAAGAGGGGGTCTTGTGGTATCCCGAGGGCCATGTTTTCTCTCCCTCCCCCTGTCCCGCTCCAGTTAGTTCACTCACTCAAGACCAGACATCATCCCTCCCTCCTCTCTTCCTTCTGGCTCCACAATTGGAAGTCCATTTGCTGTGCTTGATCAGTCCCCTTGCCATGGGCTATGTCTATCATCAGTGCACAATATTTGTAGCAGAAGTTTGTATGCCCCACTTGGGAATATGCTATCAAGTCCAGATGGGGCTCTCCTTTTATAAAGGGAACCAAGGCCTCAGCTTCTCCAGCTCACACTGCCACTGGAACAGAATGCTGGAATCCAATTATTCACCTAATTAGCATCTGCTCAGTTTCACAATCAGACAATCTGTCTGCCTGTCTCTTTGTACACCTCTAATGTTTTAGGCTTTTTCTGACAATCCATGAGATGCACAAATTAAACCACCACAAGTCATTGTATAACTGAGGTGCATAAAAATGCCTTTGCCCCCTTTTGATTTGGTGCCACAACTTTAACACCCACACACAAAGCTATGTGACACTGGATGCGAAAGCAAGAAGCAAAAACATTAATCTGACCACCTGATCATCCTCCACCTTGACAGCTGGCCACAGACTGGTGGCAGGGACAGTGACAGAGAGGGAGAGTATCAGATGTGGAAAAAGAGTCTTTGGTTGGAACAACCAAGCCTGGGGCACTTTGCCCAAGCAAATCAATAGACCAGAAAGAGTAATGATGATGGTGTAGCAGAGGGCCAGAGCCACTATTACAGAACTCAGGGCTAGAATAGTGGTCAATCTGTCATCTAACAAGGCTGCCAATTACTAACGCACTTAACGCTACGTGGGGCATCTGATAGCCAGAGGTAGTAGGAGAAGAGGGAGGGAAAGGCAGAGATTGGTGGAAGGAAAGAGAAGGACAGAGTAAGAGCATAATACAAGATGAATAGGCACATAATACTGTCATCGTGAGTTAGAGCACTAAGGCCAGAATAGCAGCTTGTGCATTCTGCCACACATGCTCCATCTCTTGTTCCCTTTCTTCCTCTCAGGCGCTCAGCTGCACACTGCAAAACTCTGGCTGTGGCTTAATGTATTTGGTTAAGAGGCGTGGAAGAGAGGCTTCCTCATGCCACATCTGCTGCTGAGCTGGCATTATTTATTGTGAGATGCTCTGGAGGCTTTTCAACATGTGGAGATGCTTCTAATGTCACAGATTAAGTATTACAGGAGAGAACCCAAAGACTAAGCTAGCTATTAGGTAACTGTCCTTGCCCGGTGCAAGTGCCGACAGTGAACAGACTCCTTCTGAATCAATGCAAAGAGAGAGAAATAGATACACTAAATGACAGAAGGTCTCACCTGGAGTTAAACAGGCTCAATGACTAGACAAAGAAAAACAATACAAATAAGATCACAGGAGGGAAACAACAAAAAAAAATAGTCAAAGGCTGTGGAGTAGGGAGCGACATGACCACCTACTATCTACAGTATGTTGACTCTTTTAAAAGGAGCGGAGGAGGAGGTAGCTGTCACGGCTGCACATAAGGACTGCTGGGATGTAGTCGAGGTGAGGGCCATGTTGCAGATCAGTCTGATTATGCATATTGTTAAATCAGGGACAACCCCCCCCCCCAAAAAAAAGCACAATAGACCTGCGTTTGATCGGCTAAGGAACGGGACACCCACCCACAGGGACTTGTGAAGCTGCACTGAGAAAAACAAGAAGAGTTCACACAGACGTCCTCACCCTGCATTTGATAGCTGTAGGGGGCCTGTCCTGTCTGTGGCGTAGTGAAGCCGGAGCTGTAGCTTAGGAAGCCCGTCTGTCCCGGAGACTGGGACTGGCTCAGGCCCCCCTCCGTCTTTATGCCTGCCCACAATGGACCTAAATCAGTTAGTGACACCAGATCGGTTTGATGCACAGTCAAAACACAGGTTTAAATTACACTGGACAGAACCTCTGTCTGTTAGCATAACACACCAATCACAATGGACAAGTACCGATTATCTGATTAAAAGTGGTCATCATCATTTTTAATTTTTTATTTAAGATAGTAAAGTAATAAAACATTTTGCTTGTGTTTGTGAGTTAAACTGGCTACTGTACATACTGAATCAACACAATACAGTTTCTATGTAAAGACATGCTTCAGAACTACATTCAAATAAACAGGTAAATTCCTGCAGATATTGGAGAGCCTTTGGGGGCCAAAACACTACAAAAACTTTGGACAACAGTACGCCATGTAATCTATACCGTTTCTTGGGATGCAGGAGGAAACCAGATTTTTTTTTTTGTTGTTGTTTAATATCACATATTTTTCAGATTTATCTGAACAGCCTGACAAGCAAATTCTGTTTTATTGCATTGAAGCAGAATACACAGGCACTAAACAAGAACTCAGTGTTTTGCCTGCTCTTGCTTCACTGGAGGGGAATTGGGGGAACATGGTTTAGACCTGACCTTCAGGATGGAACAATATTTAGTTGTGTATTTCTTTTTCTATGGACACACATAAAAGAGCATTGACTTTATTATCAGGCATCTTAAACAAGACAAGAGGAGGTTATAATTTGTGTTATAGATATCTTACCATATGCTGGGATGCCATATGGCTGCCCAGGCTGGGGGTAACTAGCATAAGCTGCGGCCTGCTGCATTCCTGTGGTGTACTGTGTCTGACCATACGCAGCCATATTTTGGGATGAAGGGGTAGGAAGAATGTGCGGATATGTTCTGCTATTTGAGAAAAGAAACAAAAGTAAGAAGGCAGGAAGAGAGAGGACCATGTTTTACCCTTAAAAACCATAACACAAACTTCATTAACTGACAAATTCCTTGTGATTTGCTACTTCAATTTAAACACTGAGCCAAGCTGTAGGACAGATAATACCATACAGCTCATATATGTAGTAAAAAAGCAATAAATGGCAAATGACATTTTTGCAAGATAATAATTACAACAAATTTCAGAGTGAGCAAGCAGCAGTCATCCAGGCAACCAAAGCCAGTCAAGAACCCCTGAACTAGCAGAAGGAACTAATTAAAGATCCAAATGAAGTTGGATGCTGCTTATTTTTTTAAAGAAAAATAAAAGAAGCCTTACTTGGAAGGGTAAATCTGTGGAGAGAACTGGTGAGTTTGTCTTGGGCTGAAGCCACTGGTTCCAATAGCTGAGGAGAGTTAAAAAGAAAAGAGGGAAGCACATATTTAAACATTAAGAAAGAAGGTAAATATTAACTTTTGCCAACAGAACTTCTGGATTCCAAGGAAACAGTAATTACACTGCATTACTCTATTTATTTTGGTAACCTTGTTTGAGGCTGAAACCCGGAGAGCAATAATGAAGTGAAATAATCAGGTAAGAACATCAGGTTTTTCTGCTGACCTGCAAATCTCTGAGATACTTCTGGGCTGCTATGACAACTGCTGGTGTAAACACACACAGGTTGGTCTGAATCAGTCTGTGGCTTCAGTTGCCTTGAGCCTTTCAAGCCACAACCACGCTGGAAGTGACATCACTGATTGCAGGTAATGAGTGCTACTACATCATCTTCCCTTCATTAAGCGTATGGCTTTGTGGTTCCACTGAGATGTTAACTTGTAAAAAGGTCAGCCACAAATAACTGAGGTACACTTGTTTTGAATCTGCAATAAAAATATAACACACATGGGGTTTTTTCAATTATTACCCAAAAGTTTTTTTAAAAAGTAAAACCTCATATTAATGGTTATTAATGAGAATGAATTTATAATGTTCTAAAGGATGCCTTTACTGGAGAAAGCATAAAACCTAAAATTCCTAAACTAGCGGCAATCTCACCTGCAATACTTCAGTTACCAGCTTGATTCTAATATTTAAAAAGTATCATTATTGATTTTAAATTAATCAATTCTTTTGAAAGAATATGCATAATTAATTCTAAATAATGTCTACATTTGCAACAAAATACAACATGATGGAGATATAAATTAGAAAATTTTAAGTATGATAAGGCATCAAATTCCTTGTTACACAAAAAGCACAACTGAGATACGCAATCACAGTCCTTGAAACATCCAACTGTTGTGACATGTAAAAAAAGAGATTCTGGTTATAGAGGAGTACTAACCATAAGTAACTGTATGCTGTAACCCTCACACACACATTAATACTGAACACCCTTCCCATATCCCAGCTGTGTCCTACCCCGGTGATACCTTTACCTCGTTTGATCAGGTGTCCCTCTCAGAACTTAAAAAATGTGTGCTTCAGCTCAAACCCGCTGCTTCTCCGCTTGATCCCCTACCAGGGAAGATTTTTAAAGAGGTTATTGATTTTATTGGCCCTGGAATGGTCAACTTTGTTAACTCCTGCTTGAG